TGCTTCAAATACCACTCCCAATGAACAAACGTTCGGATTGAACCCGTACAATGAATAGAAAATTAACAGAGCACTACTACAGGCTCTCTGTGACCCAAAATATAAAGCCGAAGATCTGAAAATGAGACCGAATTAGACTAAAATTGGTATTAACAATAGCAATATTATGACGAGCCACGTTAATGATAATTATAAGGGTTGTAATAATTACGATAACGATTTGAATTATTACCATCTCGAATGAACTTTACATACTGAAACACAAGACAATTTTGTACTAGCAGTAGATTGATGAATCAGAACGGTAATTTGTTCGTGTATTCGTAATTGAATGGGGAATGCGATCACACATCAAATGTTCCGAAAATGAGTACAAACCAAATTACGTCTTGAGTTAGGCAATCAGAATTACAAAACCTTCGTGACAAACCATATTATCAATCTAAAGAGAGCGGCGCAAACACTGATAAATTAACACTGAAGGAAGGGTGCAGATGCGCTAATTCCTGTTCCGAGAAGATCCTTATGTACTATCATTCCCCCTGACCTCTCTCTTCTCTTCAGTTAGTTATCATCTAATTCTACCACCCACACCGATGAATCAATTTCACAGAAATAATTTATCAAAATTTCACGCGCAAAATAACGACTATGAAAAATATACAAATTAAACCATTCAATTAATTTCGTCTAACAAAACATTCCGGAAACGATATCAATCTTTCGCCCGTACCCACGGCCACAATCCTTCATAGAGGGGCAAGTAATCGTAGCTACTGGGGGAACTTCTGCAACGGTTTCTCGCTTAACTTCCGTAACTTTTCAACGATTCTTTTCACCTTCCTAAGGGAAAATTGACAAACGACTGTTCCCAGCTTCCTCCGAGTTGCAGTCGAAAACGCCTACATCGACGAAATTCCTCCGTTCTAAAGGGCTATCAAACTGGTATCTTAGACGTTTTACTAATTCAATAACAAAATCTTGCAATAAAATAAATATAATGAGCTGTTGAATAACGATGATTAATACCATTCATCACATGAGTATGAACGTACCCTATCGAACAGTACGAGTGTCAGAGGAGAAGCATACAGACAAACAATTAAAAAACGATATGATTACAACTGATAATCGATGATGTAAGCAAAATTATTGCGATTGTTTAAGGGCAAATATAATTGATTGTGTGGGTGGACGTGGTTATTAGGCTGTTATGACATTCTTATCGACAGTTTCTTCACGGCCATTCCGTATCGATTATCGTTCGACGAAATAACTTTTTTCGTTGAAATAAATGTTAAAACACATTTCACAATGCTTCGCATTATTGCGACATCAACAAATGAATTCCTTCAAGGTGTTACAAGACCGCTGCGGAAAACTGTAAAAATCACTTGAGCAAGGCTCAAACTATCGTCAGCCGGACCTTTAGCCTCAGCTCAAACAAAAACTCCAACTTGAGCATGAACACGAACCTCAGATAGTACCTGAACTTGACCCAAACAGACGAGGCTAAATTGCATTTGACTCATTGCTGCAGAGTCTCGATGCGATCTACGGGAGAGATTGCCACATTTTTGGAGAGATGCCGCTGAACTGTGGCAAATAGTGTGCACCTTGAAGGGTTTCATAAATTCCATACGACGGTAAATGCAGTGCGAACTCATCCATATCACAGTTATCGTTCACTGCAAGAAAGAACTTGAAACCATTTTGAAAATAAACCATTTTGAGAGCTTTATTCAGTCCATTGATAAGCAAATCGCTCATGAATTCATAAAATAAACTTTAATCATTAACAACTAAAAAAATTCATTTTTATCACATCGTCTCACGTTCATTATCCCATAAAAAATGTGCAGCCACGCTTTGAAATCTTAGTTTTTATAGAATGATTATTCACAATGAGCAAATATGATCAATTGAATCTGATCGACTAGAATATTTTTTGTGTGACTGAAATAGCAACTTAATTAGCCTATGAATCAGTGTTGAATGGTTATCCATTTGACGTTCCAAACTCAAACACCATTATGCGATCCAATGAACAACAGCTGACTGCAGTGATCAGCTGTCGATATTTTCAACAAACAATTAAAACTTTCAAAGAGCACACCGAACCGAAAACAAAAGATCTGTCAAGAATTTGGGGGTCTCAAGATCTTAGAATATTCGCTAACAAATGCAAATTTTCCTGTGAATAGCAACTTCCGAAATCAGAGACTTCTGTTTTGCAGGGACAACACTTTTGCTTTTTTGCTTCAAATTAGATACTGAAGTAAGAAACATTCCACCAAAATGATTATATCAATTTTTTGTTTGCTTCATTCATTCCGATTAATTCATTTCGTTTTTTGTTTGCTATAAAAACACATCAATCAGCAATTCTTTCCTTTCAAACGTTGTACCTCACGTGTCATTTTCATGAAAATCCAGTGCTGACACCACTGAAAGTAGCACTTTTCAAAAATTTGAGCGATTGCAATCTGATGTTTGCGCTGATTTTGAATGGAGTCATTGTTGCAGTTCAGCTTCTTCGCAGAATCCACCACTCATGCAAACGGAAGTAGTGAACGAATCCATGAAGGACACTCTTCAATTCTTAGACTCTCCGATTCCAAGCAATTCCATCTCATTCGAGTCATCAATTTCACGAAACGCTCAAACTAATGTTTATTTACAAATGCAACGCAATCTTATTAATTTAAATTTCCGGCGAAGCTAAAATGAGTGAATTTGTAAAATTTCCAATGCAAAACTGCACGGATTCAAAAACTTTATCATGACATAAGAGAATTCACTGCAGCAATAATTCGTTGTGCACACACCACAAATCAGAACCGTATTCCTCAGCAAGAATTAAAGCAACGCACGCGTTATGCAATCCAATACTGCATGATCAGTTTCATCACCACGTATTCAACATTGCGCTATTCAAACAATAACAGTGAAAGTACAATTGTAATAACAATAACACTCGTAAAATAACGTCAATAACACGTATCATATCGTGAAATGGTACAATATAATCAAATTAAACGGATATTAAAATGAAATTTGATCATTCACTGAACAGTTCAATCATTCCATCATTTCATTTCCTCATCATATCAAATTCATACGTCCTAATGACCTTTGAATTCCGATGCCCTTCGTCTCATATATGAATGATGCAGATTGTTATCAGTACTGATAACGTATAACAATGATTAAAATGAATATCAATAGTTTTAAACCGTTATGGCGAAATTTTCGATTGATCAGTTGATAAGAGTTCATGAAACACTATCAACATACAACGACACCAGACTAAAAGCTTACCAATGACTTCGCATTAAAAAGGATTAAATCCCACGTACGCATTAATCTTAGTTCTTACGTCATAATATTTGAACTTAAGCTTGAGTAAATAATTAGTATCTCGTTAAGTAGGCAGATGACGTGAATCAATGAAAATGAGTAATAAAAGCCAACTGAGAGTTATATCATTCAACTGCATAGGATACGTTGTCATTTTGCGAACATTTTGATTACAAATAAAAATGTTAAGATATGAAATCGCATTGATAAATTAATAATGTAAAGAATGTAACCAAAAATGATATGAATGGCTCAACTGATCAGTAAATAACTACTGTTCGAATAATTGCAGCAAACCGACACCAATTCAATCGAAGCTGATCACTTCAAATCACACTAATTAACGAAATCGATCAAGAGTTTGAATTTTCGTTTTCGAGCGAGAATTCCAAAAAATATTTCCTTTTCAACACTCTGCAAAGGAGATGAAAATTCCGGAGAATAAGGGAGATATCACCTAAATTACCATTTCTCCAAGTTTATCGCAGCAATATAACAGCAAAAACAAACAATTTGTACTGCGTTATCAGTGAACTGAATGAGAAATCCGACTGCTGATGAGTCATAAACAGATGATTATCTCAGTCACCTAACGGTAAGGAGGGTGAGAATCGCCTAGTGGTAAACCATCCGGACAATACCAACGGAACGAATGGTGACAACAGGAAATTTGGGACGGAATTTTGGTAATATTACGCAATATTGATAAATTTCAACAGAACGAAAAGAAAAGAACAAATCAATACAGTCACGCGAGAATAAGTTCGAATTACGTCATGGAAAAGACTGAAAATGAGCGAATCATAAAGAAAACCACTCGTTCAACTCGGAGACGAACACGTCAAAGAAACGAAAACAAGCTGAATCATCGCTCAATCGGAAAACACCATGCGACACGATCAATTCGTCACACTTTATTCACAAAAACCTCTTGTACTTCGTAAGTGAAACCAAGCGGAAAAGTGCCATGTGAACGGCGTATAAACATTCAACAGTTTATGTAGCAAAACCAGTTCTAAACTTGCAAACAGTAACAATGAAAATGACCGATGAAAAATTTCTGTAGAGGGATTTTAGATTTCGAAACGTCAGTAACCATGCTAGCTGTAAATAATATAAGAATCAAAATAGAACACGAGGAATCATCCCGAAAGAATCCCTGCCCTCTTCACCCATAAAAGGTATCAGAATTACCGATCAAACCCACGAAACGATCGATTTTCGAGAGGAGATGAAAATTTTTCCCAAAATTCTACTATGACAAATATCAAGCTTTCGTTCACTGCAACGAATTCCTCAATCAATCGCAATGAAGCGTGAATTTAAATCAAATATTTCACACTGAATATTATCATACGAATATAACAGTAACAATCCAATAAAAACTTTGAAACGTACAGAAAAAAGTGATTACAGAAATTATCATATCAGCAGCATTTCGTCATTAAAAACCAAATGATTCTTGAGATTAGACGATTGATAGCGTACAATTTGTCAAGTAGCACTAATAAAGTAATACTACAAATCATAAGTGATCATGATGAACGATAATGAACAATAGTGACAGATGTACAGTAACTACTCACAACAGAATTTACAACTACGGAGATCAACATCACAAAATGATGATACAAGTTTGATCATTCAGCAAAACTGATTGATATATCTAAAACAAATGCAAGTAACGAAACAATNNNTAAATAAACAATGGCCAAATGAAACCTTTACTTTAATAATAATCTATTTTTAATAATAATAATAGTTTGAATAATAAGCAAACGAACCCTCTTTTCGAATCGGTGGTTTAGGTAGATTAAGAAGGACAAGTTGACTGTCATACGAATTCTCGATAATTATCTCGTTCAGTCGCACTGCGGTGTGCATTTTATGGACCTGAAATTGCATTCGCATCACATCATCCCAAATTTTCACATTTCAAACGATTTCGTGTTCAGATTATACGTCGTACAAACAACGTCCAAATTTTCACATTTTCAGAATTTTCAAATTTTCATTAAAATGAAATTCTTCATTTTAAACGCAATCTCACACACATCACGTGCACAATGCATTTTATTACCATTTGCACAATTCTGCATAACACTGAGCATTATTCATTGAAATGACACGACTCTAAAACGTTATTACCTTCCGCCTATCGAGTGCTTTCATTTCCTTATGCATTTCGGCATATTCCTCAACTTTCTTCTGCTTTATATGGTTCCCATTTGCAAACATTACTTTGCTCTTTCTTCTGCAATTTATATAAATTTTTTGAAAATTTCTTTTTTCTTGAGAAAAATCAAAATTCTTCGGCAAATAAATCCAATCAGAGATCATATGAAATATAATTAGTCATAAAACAACTGACCGTGTTGTGTTATCGCAAGGTGCGGGTGGAACATCGCTTGGCTCATCATCATTGTTTGATGCTAAAACAAACAATAATAAATAAATAAATAAATAAGCAAAGTAACAGACGATTAAACGGATCAAATGAATCGATATGAAAATGACTCACACTGATCTGCGTTCGCAGTATTGTTTTCCTCGTTATTTGCTGCTTCATATTCATCTTCTACACGATTTGTGAATCGATCCGCGAAGAACGCCAATTCCTGCAATTTCAGTGTTTTTCATAAATGATTACCATAAATTTGTCACATCAAACCATTAAATCAAGCCAGAACGAACCCCTAACGACGGTCTCTTGAGTGGTCTGTGCACTAGCGAATGCATTTCGAGGTTGTATCTGGTTCGCTGCTCCATCAACAACGTTCGTTCGAAGGCCGTCTTCGAGATTTCTGGGTCGGCTAAATCCACTACCTGAAATCACTTTTACAGCTCTTTCATTTCGGTCGATCTCCGCTCTAATGACCTTAATCCCGCTCTTCAGGCCAATTTAGATATCATCGCCACAAATTTGCTTTCAAAATATTAAAATCCTCGTCATCTTCCAGCAGTTGAACACTTCCACAACATTTTCCCATGCAACTTCTATCAATCAAATGAATGTGAAAGAAAATAGATAGAAGTATCTAGCACAACATCAAATCTGGATTTGATGTTTTGATCAAATCTGGATTGGCCAGGCTATCAAACGCTTGTAATGTTGCTGGCCACAATGCTCGCGTTTCCGTCTAGCACAACATTACCTGGATTACCTGGATTGGCCAGGCTATCAAACGTTTGTAACATTGCTGGCCACAA